GGGAAATGACGGAACGACCGAGTCTCGCGGAGATACGGAGATGTTAGCGGCGCGTTTTATTATTCCGGCGTGATTGCCTCCGACAACGGACACCGAGATTGGCATGTGAATTCGTTTGACACGAAGAATTTGCGCGAGCGTTTCAGACATAAAGGTCATTTCTGACCCTTGATCGATTAGTGCGCGGACGACAACGGAGCGTCCAGACGAAGAGCTGACGGTTATTAAGGCGGTCGCTAAAAGAACGCGAGCTTGAGCAGGCGTTCTTGTCGAAGCGAACGACGAATTAATTTCTGGTTTCGTGTCGAGGATCTGAGAATGAGAGCGGTTTGATGTGCGGGTCGCAGAATCTGAGAGAGTCCGAGCTTATGTGAAGCGTGGAATGATGTTTTCCTTGGCACAACCGACAAAAATCGACTTGGGCATTTTTTTGCGGAATGCTTTTGACTCAAGCAGTTGAAACAGCGGTTATGCTGCTTGACAAGATCGCGACGCGCGCTTGGACTCTTACTCAGATAAATTGAACAAACATTAATGAAATGCGGCGCTTTACAGAGTGGACACGTTGACGACTCGTTCGGAGCGGTGGTTGCGACATGAACCTATGACGTTGGGAACGCCTTGGTTGAGACCCTTGACGGCCCAGTTGGAATATTTGCTTTGATAGCGCGAACGCGTGAGTGTAAGAAACAACTGAGCTCGTCAAATGAGGGAGGCGATTCAGCCTCGCTTGAGCGGATGTTCCAAGCCTTTCGCGTTATCAAATCGAGCTTCGAAACAACCGAATGCACTAGTACATCGTTCCATAATTGTTCGGGAGAACGATTCAAGCTTGTGAGAGAAGCGACCGCGATGTTGACCTTGTCTAGTAATGTCTGCAGCTCAACAGAACTTTCGCGAGTTACTGTATTGAGAGTTAATATTGTTGACAAATGAGAATTGAGCGAGCGCTGACGATCCTCGAACCGAGAGGTTAAAGCTTGCCACGCGATTTCAAAATTGTCTGCTGTGACTGTAAGATGAGCAACGCACTCGAGGGCGCGACCTCTCAAACATGACACGAGAAAATGCATTCGAGCGAAATCAGCCAGGTCTTTGTTACTGCGAATAAGAGCTGTAAACCGATCACGAAATTGTTCCCATTCGTCAAAGGTTCCGTCAAACGGAGGCAACCGAATTGGCGGTAAATGAGCGAGTGAGAATGAGGAAGCTTCGGGTCGCGTTGTCGCATTTGAAAAAGACTGGTTCGGACTCACAAAAGGTTCCAACTCTTCGAGGAGATCAGCGAGGAAGTCAGATGCAGCAGTGAAGACGTCCTACGTTGCGTCGTAGTGTCCGTCCTTGAAGTAGTCGAGCGAGGCCTTGGTGGTTGAGGGTACAGCTCGGAATAGTAAATC